TAAAATAAACGTATTGTTTACGATCACGGGCGGCGTGTGTGCCGCCAATCGATTTACGTGTTTATAATAAACGATGAAAACGATATTGAAGGTTGCCAGCTTATAAAATATGCACTATCGATGCCTCGTTGATAAGTTTATTACTACTACCTTAATTAAGTATCAGTTTGAATTTCGTATTAAACGAAGTAAACAAAATATATATTAATTTACTAGCTGACCCGGCAGACTTCGTTGTGCCTCAATCGATAAATAAAAGACCTAAACTTCTGTATAAAATAAACTTAAAACAAACAAAAGGAATCCGTCCGACGTCCGATTTTCATATTTATCTACCTTTTAAACCTTCTCTGGACTTCCACAAATAATTCAAGACCAAAATTAGTCGAATCGGTCCAGCCGTTCTCGAGTTTTAGCGAGACTAACGAACAGCAATTCATTTTTATATAATATATAGAAGATAATAGTTTATTTATTACCTTTCATTTTTTTTATTGTTCCTTCACGTCTGAAAGAAAACTAGCGAATGAATTAAATGTCGTCTTTGTACATATTGCTAACACACATAATGCTTTGTAATTGTAGATCTTATTTCCAATAAATAATGAACAAATTGAACTACATCGACATAGTTTTTTTGTTTATTTTTTATTGCTTAGATGGGTGGATGAGCTCAGAGCCTACCTGGTGTTAAGTGGTTACCGGAGCCCATTGACATCTACAACGTAAATGCGCCACCCAACTTGAGAAATAAGTTCTAAAGTCTCAAGTATAGTTAGAACAGCTGCCCCACCCTTCAAACCGAAACGGATTACTGCTTCACGGTAGAAATGGCAGGGTGGTGGTACCTACCCGCGCGGACTCACAAGAGGTCCTACCACCAGTACGCAATGTCTTCGTCGTCCGAGACCATAAAGTATTAAAAACCTCTGGAGGTTTTAATTTAATGAGATGAGTGTGAAATTAAACTTCAATCAGAGGTGTTAATAGTGTCTACGGCTTACGAAGATAAAAAAAAATACGAACCTAGTTCTTTTATAAAACTCATTAGTGTTACACATTTTTAAACATACAGATCACGATTTCCTTGAACTGTTAACTCCATATAAAAACCATTGTTATACAACAATAACTCAGATCGTTAAGGAAGTAAAAAATAACGCTAAATCTATCTACCACTTAAGAATTTTTATTCAGCGCTGGTAACCCTGCAATCGATACTCTGTTTAGACTATGCCCACTCCTTCGGTTTTACTTGTTCGATGTTACTTAAATACTAATAAAGCAAATTGTTATTGCATCGTTTACTGTACACAATATGAATTAATATTAATAGGTTACGTACCTAACGTAGGTTAATGATTTCTAATAAATTATCGCGTTGAATAAACATGGAGCACTATTCTTGGATTGTTGCAAACAAATACAACGTAAGAAAACCCCAAAACCTTAAAAAAATGCATAAAGCCGCATCGCCAATCTTTTAATTATAAAAAATAACATCACTGACTTACAACAAACCTAGAGCCAATACCGTCTTTACTATAAGGGCACACGGGGCCCGTGCCCAGGGTCCCCATTCTCAGGGGCCCCGAAAGACCGACAATTTCTCTCACACGTTTATTCTCAAAACATTTTTGTCGGCACATTACACTTTTTTCAGAAATCAGTAATCAGAAGGTATTTACAAGGCATATACTATGCCTATAATAGAAGATTTTGCTCAACAGAAGTCCCGAAAGAAACCGTTATCGAAATCGTAACCAAAACACCAGCAGCATTCTAATATCATTAATGACATATTATATCATAGTGTATTTGATGATAAATGGTCATACTCAGTAAAAAAATGTTATTATAATTCGCTTTTTTTACTTTCCAAAAGGGCCTCAAATTCTTGTGTGCCCAAGGGCCCCATCCTAGTTTAAGACGTCCCTGCCTAGAGCCCATAATAATACATAAAATAATTTGTTTTAAATAGGTTAATATTTTCTTCGATTTTCGCGAGTACTTGACATAGTTAAAACTACTATTGATATGTAATCTCTCATTCATTACTGTCATCAATTTATTTCTAACGTTCCGAATACTTTACTTGATATGTTAGAGGAAGTCTGAAAGTGGCACCTGTGACAGAGAAGCTGAGAAGTGCGCGTTTGGGATGGTATGGACATGTGATGAAACGCAATGAAAATGAGATTGGTAAGAGAACGTTAACTATGAATGTGGAAGGATATAGAGGAAGAGGTAGAACTAAGAAGAAATTAATGGATTGCGTGAAAGACGATATGTGTAAGAGGGGAGTGAGTGAAGAAATGGTATATGATAGAAGAGTATGGAAAGAGAAAACATGTTGCGCCGACCCCAGGCGACTGGGAGAAGGGCGGGAGAATGATGTTTCGAAATTTTTATTATTATTATTATTTTATTGACTTTGTAGGCAGACGAGCGTACGGCCCACCTGATGGTAAGTGGTTACCGTTGCCCATGGACTTCAGCAATTCCAGGAGCAGAGCCAAGCCGTTGCCTACTGCATACTTTACGATTTTCCATTTTACGTGATCGCGTTCACATAATAACTATAAGAATAGTATTTTAAACCGTAAAAATCATTTTAATTATATAATATTATATTCAATAATCGATTAACTATGTTTGTTCGATTAACGATGTACTATGTTTTTTTTACTATATATTATACATAGTTTTCTTTGCATTCTATTTATTGCTATTGTTATTTCTGCCGTAGAGTACGTAACGATATCAGAAAGGTATAGCAGCCAGTGTACCAATGCAATTAAATTTCAACCTTATATCTCACCGTGGATAGTGGTGTTTACGCTGTAATGTTTATGGATTTAGCCCCTTATAACTCATGATCATAAATTCTAAAATAAATTACGTTTAACGACTTCTATATTTTAACTATAATGAAAACCGTATTTTTCAAAAAACATTTTATTTTTTTATTTCTTGTTGATTGGACGAGCTCACAGCCCACCTGGTGTTAAGTGGAGCCCATAGACATTTACGACGTAAATGCGCCACCCACCTTGAGATATAAGTTCTAAGGTCTCAAGTATAGTTACAACGGCTGCGCCACCCTTCAAACCGAAACGCATTACTGCTTCATGGCAGAAATAGGCAGGGTGGTGGTGCCCACCCGCGCGGACTCACAAGAGGTCCTACCACCAGTAATCACAAGAGGTCCTACCACGAGTAAAAATTCAATTTTTTTTTTTTTGTAATAGTGAATGACACATATCTGTGACATTCAGCCAATATTAGCATATTTTTCTATGTGGTGTGGAACTCTTTGAAGCAATTATTTTTCTAATTGTAGCATAGAGTCACACTACATTTGTGACATAAAGTTTGGGAGACTCCTGTGCATTTAGGGAACTTGCACCTGATCTTATTTTTTGACCAAACTGGCGAATGCCCGATTTGATCTAAGCAAACTTTCAATTACATACTAGTAACGCTATCTCTGTGTGATGTGATGTATTATTTCCTTAGTACGATATTACTGAACAGTGAAAATAAAATGAGTTAGGTAATTATGTAGGTATGGTCTGTGGTTTTTTTTGAGGCCATATTATGTAAAATAATAGCTCACTGGTGGTAGGACCTCTTGGGAGTCCGCACGGGTAGGTACCACCACTCTGTCTATTTCAGCCGTGAAACAGTAATGCGTTTCGGTTTGAAGGGCGGGGCAGTTGTTGTAACTATACTGAGACTTTGGTACTCTTACCTCAAGGTGGGTGGCAGCATTAAGGTTGTAGATGTCTATGGGCTTCGGTAACCACTTAACACACCAGGTGGGCTGTGAGCTCGTCCAACCATCTATGCAATAAAAAAAGGAATAATAGAAACGACGAATTTCAAAGGATGTGATTTTACACTCAGAAGAATACTTCAGCAAATGGGTTTTTTATTGAAGAAAATAACTAATAATAGGAAAATGCTGATGGAAAAAGATTTAGGCTTAAAAGAGTAAAAACATATCTATGCAATAAATAAATAAAAAGTGTTACAAAGGACTACAAGGGGTTAACATTTCAGATATCAAATATACAAGAATACTCAAGACCTGGGAGACACGCTAGGCAGTATGCTTGGACCTTGGAAACCGTATGCAAGTTGCTTTAGTTTCACGATGCAAGTAAACATAATTATATGCCCTAAGTAATGTAACTCAGTCTAGCTCTTGGTCTAAAACCTATATTGTTAAATACTTAATAAGTTCTCATAGTGCCTTAGATTCAATAAAAACTCGAAAATATTTTTCCACGCCTAATAGAATACGTCAGGTCAAAAACGGGGTGGATTTTTCAGATGAAATTTTGAAAATATGTTTTTCACTTAAAATACGCAACCTCATCAAAGCAAAGAGCGAGATAAAAATAATGACGAAGCGCATTTGCTACAGGGTGATGTTATTTGAATTATATCCAAGAAAAACCAAATCATTATTACCATTAAAAAAATACACTATATAGGTATATTTTGATATTAAATTAACTTTTAACGCCATTTTTTGGCGGCTAAATCGATTGTCAAACAAAAAATTATACACTAGGCAAAAGCATACGCACTGAACTGACCTGATATAAAATTTCGATCAATCTTAATATTACTATAAATTATACATTACGGCACACTCCTTAACCTTAGAACACGTTCTAGAAAAGCAGAAATATCTATACTTAATATTATAAAGCTGAAGAGTTTGTTTGTTTGAACGCGCTAAACTCAGGAAGTACTGCTCCGATTTGAAAAATTATTTCAGTGTTAGATAGCCCATTTATTGAGGAAGGCTATAGGCTATATCACGGTAAGATACAAGTGGAGCACCAATAAAGAATGTTTCAAAATATTTTCATTTTTTACGTAAATGAAGTGGGGTAAAATTTAGCGTTATGTCAAAGTAACTATTCCACGCGGACGGAGTCGCGGGCAAAAGCTAGTATATTATATAAGTACAATAATTCACTCACCGCTTCATCTATAAGGCCAACATCTTTCCTCTGTAGACACATTCAGATACACGATCAGAATAGCACTATCAATTATTTGACAATTTGAACAAATTGTGAGTCAGGACGGGACCCTTCTGCACGCCGGTCGTCGGTCACTCGTAATGAACGAACCACAAATGCTGAATGTTTTGAATACAATCTGTAACAGAAAGAAAAAACAATAATAAACTTAGGTGGCACGGTTTGTGTTTGTATGCTTATATCAAGCTCCCCGTATGGGCAATGTAAGCAACGGATTCATAATACTAGACTGAATTAAATACATTTTTTTGTTGTTTTAGTTTTATCAATCGATAATTGCGGTTAAATTTTTCAAATATACAAAATAAAAAATATAAATTTTATTCGGAGAATATATGCAAAAATCGGAAAATTATTATGGAAGAATCACTGTATAATTAATAATAGAAGTCATTAAATTTCATTTGGCATTTCCTTTTGAGAAAAGCCCTGATTGAAATCTATATCGTCGCGGCCTAAAAGATAAGACGCCGGGTACATTCGTATCGAGCGACGCTACTAGGCCGGTGTTCGAATCCCACAGATGGGTACCAATTTTTGTAATGAAGTACGTACTTAGTGATCATGAATGACTACCACGATGAAGGAATAAAAACGTAATAAAAAGTCAAACGTCGAAAAAAAATTATTTTGTCTAATTATTACTGGTATTGCGAGTATGCCACTGGCAAGCACCATCATCCAGCCTATTCCTGCTGTTATTTCTAAGCATGTTTTAAATAGCAGTCTGTTAGGTCGTTCACTCATTTTATAATAAAAGATAACGTTACGGTTAAATCGTACGTACGTAATAAAAAAATTCAACAAATACCTTACTGGTTTCAACGCCAAGTCGCCTCGACTTTACGTTCGATTGCTGGTTTACTTAACGAAGAACCACCCGTAGCTTTAACGAACTCGTCAAACGAATAAATATTTTACGTTTAAATAGAAATACATTTCAGTTGCGAGAACAGTACCCAGGCGCTTGAGATTTCACTTTCCCCCCTTCGCCTTTTCATGAGTTCTGTCTCATGCGAGGTTTGGACTCTGGTTGTTGAACGACAGGAGGTTTTAGTCAGTTCGACTCTGACATGCCCTGCCCTCCATCCCCAGTGGAGGGCGGAAGTCCGGCGATTTCCACCTGACCAAAAAAAAAAGGCGCTTGACATAGCATATTTTTTTTTAGTTTATCCAGTTTCTTGTTTCGGCAATGAGGGTGCGTGGGCAGGCCACTGAGACGGATGCAGTTCACTGTTTCTCGCGGCCGTCTTATTGGATGCCGAGCTTCTGTTTGTTTATTTTTCTTAAACGTATACATTTATTTCTAGCCAGAAGCATTTCGCATTTCTCACTATCAAAACCGACGGACTTGCATGCAAAATATCTCTTTTATCATCCTCTTTGGGATGAAATTTCCATAATCTCCTTTCTTACACCATGCTTTCAATGTTAAGGTTAACGACAACCAAAAGTTGAAGTTTTTTCTGTTTTCAAGTAAGGTAGCCTTTCCCAAAGTGGGCGATAACACCCGCGCTGCCGGCCCGAAGCGGGGCTGTTAGAGACCCAGAAAAAAATGGGGGCGTTGTGTAGAGGCTTGGGAGGCGATTTGTAATTTTATCTAGGGGGATTCTTAGACACCAATTGAGTTCTCGCGATAGTGGTTTTAAGTAGGTGAAAAATGGGTGCACTAAAAAATAATTCATTCTCAAAGTGGGCAGTAGACAAAATTTGGGAGGTCCTGAAGTAAGGTAATCATGGTGAGAGCCCACCAAATATCATATATGTAGGTAGTCGTATATCATATAAGGGGTTGGAACAATATATCAATAGTTGTAGGTAGGGTTAAATTTTCATTAGGGTAAAAGATAATCCGTGGCGTTGCGGTAGTGATAGAGTTGTAAGTTGTAGTATGAAGCTCTGTAATGGTTAGTAAGCCCACTGAGTTTCTCGTCGGATCATCGCGGTGGGTCGCGATTCCGATCCGGTGGTAGATTCTGCAAAACACTACTCTTGCTAGGGGGCTAGTGTTAGCAAATTCTCTCTGGTTGAGCCCGTGAGCTCACTCACCCGTCCGGGCGTAACTGGAATAGTCTCTTAGCTGCCAGCGAATAGATAACGGAAAAAAGTGGTTAGTATTACTCAAGCTATTTCTACCGTGAAGCTGTCGTACATTCCGTTCTAAAGAATGGACTAGTCTTTCCAATGAGTCGACTATTATCAAAGCCGGCAATGTGACTTTGGATAATTATTGGTAAATCAGAAAAACGAATTTTTGACTTTGTATTCCATTGGTAGTCACAAAACTCTTCTAAACGACATCTTAGATAAATAACAGGTTAAGTATTAACCTTTATTAAATGCAGGTTTTGAACCGTATTCTTTGAAGGAGACGATTATATTCAAATCAATCTGTATTGACATATCGATAACATTTTTTTGTCCAAATGCACAGATTACCACCTTTGATAATAGACGACTCATATTATGCATTACAAATAACTCGCCCAGGTACATACATTACACCCAACACATTAACATAAACAATTAAGTATTAATTTGAAAATATTGTCATACCATCTTCGTCTATGACTAATCTCTAATTTCTCCGCGACGTTGAATGTTTCCTAAGCAAAATTCAGCTTTGGACCACAGGCATAATAACCGTTATCTCGTATCAAGGTAATGGCGATAGGACCTTTTGATTTGTAGTGGAATGAGGCAGCACCTGAAGGTAATGTAAGCATGAAAGCTATTGTTTTGTTTCTCTGTTATGGATTTAGCAAAACAATTGAGAGCTACCGTATTACGTACTCGAGAATATGAAAATACAAAATTTTATTGGAACCAAAACAATTTGAACGTGAGACCTGTGTGCTTAGTGCGAGTTTTTTAACTGGTGGTAGGACCTCTTGTGAGTCCGCGCGGGTGGGTACCACCACCCTGCCTATTTCTGCCGTGAAGCAGTAATGCGTTTCGGTTTGAAGGGTGGGGCAGCCGTTGTAACTATACTTGAAACCTTAGAACTTGTATCTCAAGGTGGGTGGCGCATTTACGTTGTGGATGTCTATGGGCTCCAGTAACCACTTAGCACCAGGTGGGCTGTGAGCTCGTCCACCGATCTAAGCAATAAAAAAAAAAAAACTTCTCGATAGCTTCCCTTCGTTTGCCGCTAGGGGCGCTGTTCCAACTCTATACAAATTTGAGTTAACTTTTACGCGATCGAGAAGTTAAATAACTCGCACTAAGCACACTGGAGAGTAATCAAGACACTCGCGAATCAACTACAGGTGTTTGTAAATAAATGCTTGAGGTCGATACTCCGCATATTTTGACCAGTCACTATCTAATAAAGACCTCTGGACTAGTTGTGACAAAGTCCCCATCGCGCAAGACATTGTCCATCGAAAATAGCGTTGCATAGGACACACTCTATTGCGGAGCGGAGTCAACGCAGCATCAATCGCGTTTGGGTGGCAACCGCGTGGCAAGAGAAGACCTGTGACCCGTATTTTTTTATCTTTTTTTTTTCTACCTATGCCTTGAGAGGCTATTTCAGCTTCACTTTAACGTGTAGGTGAGCTCACGGGGCTCAAACCGGAGTGTTGTTAACACTGACCCTAGCAAGAGCAGGGCTTCGCAGAATCTAGCACCGGATCGGAAACGCGACCCAGTCAGAAGATCCGGCGAGAAACTCAATGGGCTGTGTCTGTGGGTTAATTTACTCACCGAGCCCTTCGTCGCAAGCGACGGATTCGACGAGACTAATGACCGGTGCTTGTGGTACCTAAAAGCACCGTTAGTGGATCGGCAGGATCCGAAATGACGTGTTTTTTGGGCGACGTCGACTGTTTACCATTTGGTCCGCAGGATCGGCTATGTAGTTACCGGCGGCCACCTAGCTGGCGGCATTTATATTGTTGATGTCTGTGGGTTCCAGCCCTTAATACCTCGTCTGCCCAAAATCGCCAAAATGAATTTTAAAATCCAATACAATAAATAACTCCCTGCCGTCATTCATTTCAATCGCGAACAATGAATTAGCTTAACTAATTCGTCATAACAAAATTACGATCCTAAATTAATTATGTTTTTTTTTATTATTGCTTAGTTGGATGGATGAGCTCATAGCCCACCTGGTGTTAAGTGGTTACTGGAGCCCATAGACATCTACAACGTAAATGCACCACCCACCTCGAGATATAAGTTCTAAGATCTCAGTATTAGTAACAACGGCTACCTACCCCTCCCTTCGAACCGAAACGCATTACTGCTTCACGGCGGAAATAGGCGGGGTGGTGGTACCTACCCGTGCGGACTCCCAAGAGGTCCTACCACCAGTAATTACGCAAATTATAATAGTTTTAATCGAAAAAAAAATTTTTTTGTCCAACTAATGTCGATATGTATAAACTATATAAGACTTTTTTTACAGCTTAGATGGATGGACGAGTTCACAGCCCACCTGGTGTTAAGTGGTTACTTCGAGCCCATAAAAATCTACGACGTAAATGCGCCACCCACCCTAAAATATAAGTCCTAAGGTCCCAATATAGTTACAACGGCTGCTCCACTCTTCAAACCGAAATGCAATTACTGCTTCACGGTAGAAATAGGCAGGGTGGTGGTACCTACCCGCGTGTACTCACAAGAGGTCCTACCACCAGTAATTACGCAAATTATAATGGTTTTAATTGAAAACTAAAGAACTATATATTTTTTTAATTTAATATTTGATTCTTAAATACAATGGATATTTTTATGCTGTTTCAAAGCATTCTAATAAGTCCGAATTAAAATATTTACTATTCAACGAAACTTTTCTTGTCTGGTCTGCGTGTGTATGTTCTGTGGCGTAATAGTACTTACGTCACATAGTCCAAATTAAATGCCCAATTATCTGAAGACTTCTTTGCAATACTACCAGAGTTATTCTTTCAAAACCCTTCCACAGTGAAAAAAGTAGTATTTTTATTATTAGCTATTCCGCGACTTCGCCTGCATGGCTAAGGAAAAGTATCAATACTTTATTCGAAAATGTCACATAATTTTTGAAGATTATAAAACAGTTTTTCGCGGAAATTAGATGTTTTTTTTTGAGATAAAAACTATTTCACAAGCAAACACGTTTTCACATTT